GGCCTCCTATTTAGAGGGGGCTTCCCTGGACCTTATAGGAGAGACAGAGATTAGTTCTGTACTAAATTTAATACTATGGTTTTATAACTCACTAATTCATTCTATTATCTTATTACCTACTAATAAACACCTCACAAAATATTATATACCTTATAGTTATATAACTTTATATTATAATATTCGTATTATTATATATAATTTAGTATATAGCTAGTATTTTACTTAATTCAAGTTCTTTACTATTACTATAATATTACTTTATTATAATATTTCCTTTTAGAAAGCGGGAATTATTATTTATTTCAAATAGTTATATAAGAAGTACTTTTCCTATTTATTCTATTTTTTCTCGTTTTATTTATTTAATAAGTTTATTTATAGCTATTAGTATAAAGTAGAATAATTATAGCCATATATAATATAAGATTTGTATGGATTTCTATTTTTTATAGAAACATCGACCTATATAGGTATATAAGGATCCATGCTAACGTTACTGCTACTACGGCTCGTAATACTCTGTTTTGAGACCTAGCCTCTAAATCCAATAATTGAACTTTCTCCCTTCCGAATTTTTGCATTTTGCCTACAACCAGTGTGGAGAGGGAGAAAAGGCCTTGACCGAGGGTATCGACCAGCAACTAGTCAATTCTCGTTGACTTTTCTTGGGGCAAGAGAGCCAAGTCACGTCAGGCTTGGCAAAAATACCGGTATTAATAGTATCGATACTTGCCCCATATTTTAATTATTATTTAATTATTCTTATTTACTATTATTTTACATGACTTAAAAATTGAAAATTTGTAAGCATTAAGAATGCTAAGAATTTGGTTTAAATAAAAATATAAAATAGCTAAATCTTTAATAAAAATATTAATATTTATTAAATTTGTGATTTTATGAGTTTTGCGATCCCGATAAGCTTATCGCTAATTTTTTTTTAGCGTGCAGTCTCTAAATTTTAGGCAGTTTATCGCTAAATTTATAGGCTAGAGGCCCCTAAATTTTCGCGAAAATTTAGCGATAAGGTATCGATACCAAAATTTCTGGTATTTTTGCCAAGCCTGAGTCACGTATGTCTATGCCACACATTATCCAAGCCTTCCTTATCTAATTATATCATGCGGATAGTTTTAGTTTGCTCCTTCAAATTAACATCTTTCAATAATATCGCGAAGCATTGTTGCACATCGCAAAATGGCGAGTGCAGAGGGAAGAAGTACCAGCCTATTGGATGGGAAGTGCCAGCGTTCGATGAGTTATTTGGTTGTTTGCATTGTTTGAAAGATTATCACGTAAACAAAATGTGGGAATAATGTAACGGTTTTTGTAGTACTACAGCTGTGGGTACGTCAGCTTGCAAGGCTGCCTTAATGTACTGCAGGATGACGTACACCGGTTATTTTCACTTCATGCCCGAGCACTCTCAGTTGTAGTACTACAAATAAGTGTGCTCGGGCCTGAAGTATAAATTTTCCGCAAAATAAAATTCGGAGCACACTGAATTTTAACACTGGAACCCGAACTGCTTTGGTTTCTAATACGACAACAAAACGCATTTCTATAGCACGTACTTTAAGGCGAAATTCACTTACGTCTGTGTGGATGTTGGTCGGTCAGGGAGTTCGTCGGTCAGGAAGTTAGTCGGTCAGTCAGTCAGTCGTCATCAGTTCATGAAATTAGAAATTATCACGACTGAAAGATACAAACTGGTAACTGCCGTGTATTTTGTCTGAATTAGTTCTAAATTGCGCTTTTCTTTCTGCTTTTTCTGCGATTGTTTTCATCTTATGGTATGATTTGAAAATAATTTCCCTCTTCGTCGAATCTGCTCCCCTTCCCTGTTGTCGTTTGAAACCAAGTGTGTTCATGTAGAAAACCGATTCAGCTATAGTCAGCTCAAATTACAAAAAAAAAGTTTTAAGTGTTATTTAGGGTGCGATTTTGGACACATCTTATTGAGTAGCCGAGATAATAAAATTCTGCCTCGCACTTTGCCAAATATTATTATCTTGACGTTATCCTATTCGAGTAATAGCCTTAATTTACTAAGCAGCAATTACCCGCCTTTTCGTTATAAGAATTCATAATAGAATATGCACATACAACGATGACAAGCGACAAAGTATTCAACATCCATCAATCCATTTATCAAGCCGTCAATCTGATAATCCTCAAAATCCATCTTGTTCTTCCGAGCAAAGTCTCAATGGCCGGCCTCCTTTGGAACATCAAGATTCTATACGCAATGTTAAGATTACCAACCCAATCATCGAACGAATTTAGACAACCTGTGGGTCTTCGACGCGGGCCGAGCGATATGCCTCTTGTATGTTTGTGGCAGAGTAGTCTGTGGCACACGGGATCCGATAAATGTCTTCATCACAGGTCTTTTAGCTTTACCCTCCTTATCTTTTTCTCCAGAAAATACACAGGATGGAAGTAGCTGCATCTGGATTGTCTCCTTCTCCCCGGAAAATTCAAACGAAAGAACCGGTTTCATGAGGCTAAATTCAGTAACGGATGGTTCGCTGTAGCCAAAGTCCAGGCGAAGAGAGCCTGATAAGGATGAGTCTAGAGATTCGTTGAATAAAAGGCTGAGATGATATCCAATCTCGTTGGAATCCCACATGTGATCCTGAAATATATCAATACTACTGCAAGGAAGAATGGAAGGACCAGATTTTGATTAGGTTGGTAGTGGTCAGACGTTCAGGACTGCCGAGGCGGTCACTAGTAAGAGATACAATATTGTACTTACTTGTGATGGGGTCAGGTGCATGGAGTCCCACTGCATGGTCTTTGATACTTTATGACGCAGATGCCGGGGGTGTTTGATGATTATCTGCCGAGAGAGCATGCCCAATATGAGCTCGTCTTGGTCAGTAGCATCAAGATATGTGTCATCAAGAGAGTTGTAGTCAAAATCGGTGAAATCAAGATCGGTGAAATCAAGATCGGTGAAATCAAGATCGGTGAAATCAAGATTGGTGAAATCAAAATCGGTGAGATAGGTGTCATCAACCTGCCCGAAAGCGTCGAACACCTTCCTTTGGTTCGAAGCATAGCTCATGGTTCCAAGATATCTGTACCACGCATATGGATGAGAAACAGCGCAATATTCAAGCTCTCGACTGATCTCGCCTTCCAAAATTGCAGCCTCGCTAGCTTGAGATATATGTGCCAGCTGGTAGACTAAAGAAGCATAAAGCTCATTCTCCAAAAGGCCGTCAACATCTTCAACCTCAAGAGCAAATAAAGCAGACCGAAGAACTGTGAGCAGGCTTGCTTTACGGAAGGCACTTATTACTAAATGGAATTGATCCGGAATAGTGTTAAGAAGCCACAAGCCGGATTCTTTGCAAGATCTCAAACAATCTTGGGTAAATTTCCCGAGGTCCTTAGATGCGTCTTCCTTAATGACTCCTTGCAAATAAGAGGTTTTGACGGAATACTTGTGTTGATAGAGCAAGGGTATGCAAGTGAGAAGGGTGAGCTTTTCGTCGAGGTTAATGCAATCCTGCAAGATCTGGTTCAAGAATAAGGCGCTGTACTCGTAGACTAAAACTTTCTCAAGCTTTTCAAGATCCCGGGGGCTACGATGTATTGCCGCAGGCATTGCGGCGAGGACTTCTCGGAAGTGGCGTCGACTCATATTCCGTAGTTCATCTGGCCCTGGCCACGCAACTGGCCACACTTCTTGCTTTTCAATAAAGTCGAGCAAGGGGACTTTCACACCGTGGAATTTCTCTGTCCACACTAACATCGCAATATCCTCTTCAGACAGCGGGTGATAAGTACTATGGCTGACTATCGTACGTGCAAGATTCTTCAATTGCACAGCGTCATTGTCGGTACGTGCCTTTTGGGTTAAGAGCGCAACAGTTCCCAGAGGAGATGCGCCGTATTTATCATCGTTTGATCTTGGAGCTCCCGGATCCACCCCATGCTGAACGAGGAGCTCAAACAAATTCAAGAGATTTGAAAGATACCCAGGACTTGGTTTGGTAGATGACTCCACTGCTAAAATAACTCGTAGAAGAACGAGGTCGAGCAGCGACTTGGTTCCCCATATGCGATCAAAGGGTGACGCCGGAGAATTTGCAAATAGAATTCGAACTCGGGATATATCCCCAGTGGCGCAAGCTATGACGATGGGAGCATTGGTATCCACGACGTTGAACACCCGCAAAATAGGTTCCGGAGACGCTTTAAAGGAGGCAAATCCTTGCTGCACAAAAGACCAATAAACTCCAAGTCGTAGGAAATCCGGGTTAGGATTCAGATCGATATGTGTCTCAGTCACACTTGATGTTCTAGTATTGTAGGAATTGGAAAAACCTCCCTCAACAGAATCACAAAAAGTTGTGGTTATCGACGAAATCCCGATGATTCCAATAGCACGGATATATGTTCGCTTTGCCGTCTGCTGAGACACAATCCGGCGAGATATTGATCCTAGAAGAGGAAGAGCTATAATTCCAGCACTAGCTCCAACAGCTTTATCATCGACTTGCGGTGTGACTCGTGTCTCAGCACAAAATTCAGCGAGCACACCACGGAATGTATTTTTCACCAGCTCAGGCATTCCCATCGGTAAGGAGCTCAAACCATGGGGTTCAGTTTGAAGATTGGAAATAGCAGCCCGTGTTTCAAGCGCAGTGTGCTGTCCATTCTCCACCCGCTCAAGTTTTTCCGAAAAAATACTTGCAATTGTTGTGAATTTCGACGTAAGGATGTCGTTTATGCCGGTAGATAGATCATGCAATCGGCTCGAGAAATCCCCTCGGAGTCGGGTAATAGCGTCCGTATTATTCCGTGTTTCGAGGCTGAGTTCGTTGATTCGGTTGGGTATTGTAGCAATCGTGGATGAGGTGATGTCGAGCGTCGAAGTCAATACAGCGAGGCTGCTGTGGGTTGCTCTTGTGCTGAGAGCTTGCTGTTGTTTCAAAGAACTGCATGCGATTAGCAGGCGCAGGCTTTCGTGCAGATGTTACCACTCACAGTAAGATTCCAGCCTGTGCTGTCGATATGTAGCCTTTTGCCCTCTCTAACCGTGAAATATACTTGGCACACTTCTCCTTTGCAAATGCAAACTTGACTTGACCCCATCTACCCCCAAGTTTCTTGTTCTTTGCAATCAACTTGACCAACCCCGTTACCGCCTCGTCGCTGTAGTCGAGCGCGAGCTGTACCGAGTTTGTTTGCCCTTCAGGAATACCAGCGTCATCGAGATCAACAAGAGACTTCCGCAAGTCGTCTACTGTCAATTCAAACAAATGTACTTCTGTCCCCAGGTGTCGTATGTCCTCGGCGGCTTCGCTGGCATCAACGAGGAGAGTTCGGATATACAGGCAGCCTTGTGTGATTTGGCCTGCAAGACTGATGAATGCGACGACTGCGGAGCCTGCCGCAATGGCTTCCATGCTTATCTCGTCCGCAGCCGGGGTGAAAAGCGTGATACTCGAAGTATAGACAGTGTAAGAGATCAGGAACAGAAAGAGACTTATGTGTGTTCCTAATGGGAGATGGTATTCTTACGGCGCTTGCTCAGCCTCGTGAACTGAAAAAATAGAGCTGCGCCACGGTAGATAATTGAACCAACCTCTCTTGATAGTCACATGATATAACGCCTCGAAGTTAGCACTCATTCATAGTTAGCAATCACCCAAATTTAGCGCTCACTCATAGTTGAATATACGACAAGAGTGCCGGGGGTCCTCTTGCTACAGCAGCACAGTGACAGCGCACCAGGTTCACGTGACTAGTACGGTTGCCAAAGGAACGCCGTGCAATTGACCGGTTCTGGGCAACTTTACAAGAATCTCTATGCGAACAGATGGCGCATATTATACATGATCGTACAGTACATTAAGCCCCACGCATGCTACCTACAATTGCACGTGAAGCCGCATGGGGCGTGATATTTTGATGTGCATATGGAATTTGAACAGAAAATCGATGTTCAGAGCGAACATAGTCCAAAGCATTCACCCTCCGTTTAATCAACTCCAAGCATAAAGCTCTAAATCTAAAAATATGTAAGGGTCCGGAAGCTGCCCCTACCAAAATAGAGTTGGGTAAGGATGGATGGGGGTGAGGCGAGGCGAGGATGAGCAAAGCGGCGAGAGGTCACATGGGGACTCGCTTGTCGAGAAAGCAGAAGTTGCTAAGATTCAGGTTAAACAACATCCATTGTCAGCTTTTTGTATCTCTCTCCAGGAGTTCGATATGGGAATTCCATGTTGTTCATCGATGCTCCCAGTACGGAACATCTACTTTCCTTTCCTCCAAGTCTCCCAGCAGCGGTGGTAATGTTTTCGGACGTCCAGATTATTGGTCACCAGGACATTTTGGCGATTCTAGAATAACAGAGTCTGGTGCCAACACCCTCGATGGGATATCCATAACCGTGAACAGCCAATTTCAGTCTATATGAGATACGACTCTGAAGGAGACTTAACGATGTACCTTATTTCTGGAGGCAAAGATAATTATATTATTAACTAACTCCAGGGATTCCTTCGCAGTAAGATCAAAGAGTGCTCTAGAACTACATCTCCTGTCGTGTTTCTGGATCCTTTCGAGATCCATTATCTCATCCTAAGGCTCTCCTTCGAGTTCTCTAAAGGATTCGTATCTAGATTACGAAGGACGCTATATGATTAACTAGACAAGACAGATCGGCACACGCAATCGATTAACACAGCTAGAGAGCGAGGGGAACTCAAGAAACGAACGACAGATCTTTTCTGCTCTCGCAGAACGTTGACTCTTTTATCATAGGCTTTTTTATGGCCCTCGGCATAGCTAGCGAGTTGAAATATGCCCACTAAATTTGTTTTAGCTCTGCAGTGGAGAACGAGCCGAGAAATGCGCGTATTACAGGCAGCCAGAGATTGGCTTACTTAATTTGATGGCTAAACTTATCGTTCGAGTCTTAACTGCGCTAGCTGCAGAGGTACAAAGCGCGCAAGTACACCTCAATAACGCTAGTGTCCAACCTCGTCACTTAATAAGATAGCTCCATTATGATCCAAGACAGCTCGTCCATGAAAGGCATTGCTATATTAACGATATTATTCTTGCCCGGAGCGTTTACTTCTGTAGGTTTCCCAACAACTTTCACAGTCCCTCCTCAGCTGTGGCATCCTGATAGCAACAAACCATGGTAAAGTGGACACAACAGGTGTCGGGTGGTTTTGGTTTGCCCTCACCATGCCTTTGACTATTGCCGTGCTTGGCGTCTTGTCCAGTACCATACGAAGCAGAATCGGTTGGGCTTGGAGGACGTATTTCGGCTTGGTAGGAGTATAAACAGCTAATTTGATGCCGGAAGGAGATCTGAGAAGAATAGTGCTTGAAATAAACAGCTACTTAGGGTTCCCGGATAGCCCGAAAGCACAGCTATTCAGAAACCGGCAGACAGGGCCTTTAGGGGATTTCAGAGGCAAGAGTCCCTATAACCTCGTAAATATAGAATTTATGCCCACTATAAATAGGCCATCCGCAAATGAGAGAGTTGAATAACTTTACTTGGGAATTTAATTGCGCTCAAGAAGAACCGACTAAGGAAATAGTGAGGTGGCTTTCATCGAGAGTAAGATGTTAAGGTGTGCCTGGCGGCCTGAGGCTGGCAGCACTTGTCTCAAGCACGTCTCACTAGTAGTCCCTATATGTGCCCGGAAGCCCCCATAGTTTGTTCTGTATAGTTGAAAATATACTCGATTTGTCCTTATTGTGTCCTGCTTGCGATTCTCTTGTTGTATCGTTGAGCTGGAGACGTGACGTCCAGCATAGGAGACAATAATGGCGAGTCAGGTGATCTTTACGCACTATTCCTTCCCTGACGCAGCATCACAAGCGATTACTACTGTTAAGCCTTCTAATACCGATGCGTCAATCGACGTAAATCTTTTATTAATATGATCCTGCTTTACTATAACCTGTATCAGATTCGCCAACCTCGTGCGACTCCTTTCTTAATACTTATAAGGGAGCGAGCGCGAATTCCATGCTTTGCCGAGCTTTGTTGGAAGCTGCGACTGGGTCACAAGCGAGCCCAAAAAGGCCCTGTTAGGGTGTCAAAAGGAATCCTTGCCTATAATTCTGAGACCACTTGTACTGCAAAGACGCCGCAATATTACATAATCCACGTGTTTTGCTCACGTGACAATATCTCAAACAATGCAAACAACTAAACTGACTCAGCTACGGAAAGCGATAAGGATCAGAAGACCAAGCGATTTTCGAATCTGGTTTTCGACCTTCGATGTCTGATTTGTGGCACGTACGCACCCTACTAAAAATCGCCTGTAACCAAAATACTGTATTCTGCGGGCATAACTATACCTAACTTAAGTCCCTTTATTACTATCTATTATAAGACTTATATATATAATTAAATTATATTTCTAAATATAAATAATTTATAATATAATTAATTATAATATTTCTAAATTATTCTTATAAGATTATACTAGCCTTATATTATTACTTATAATATTTCTTTATTTCTTTTCTTTATTCTTACTAATATATAACTAGCTTTATATATATAAGATATATATAAAAGAATAGAATTATATTAGATTAGAGAATTAGTTATAGAGAATATATTTGGAATAGCTAATTAGTAAGAAATATATCTAAAACTAGTAAAAATAAGTTAAGATATATAAAGTTACTAGTTTATAAGAAATATATCCGAAACCGGTAGTATTAAATAAGGATATACTTAAAGTAGCCGGCTAATAAAAGATATATCCAAAACCGGTAATAATAAATAAGGATATATATAGAATTACTAGTTAGTAAAAGATATATCTGAAACCGGTAATAATAAATAAAAATATATTATAGAATAATTTAATATAAATCTATATCTAAAATAGAAATAAATAATTCTACTAATTCTTTAATATAGAAAGGTTTTTCTATTATATTTTTATTTTCTAGATTATTATTTTTATTTTATTTTATTTTTATTCTTAATCTAATTTCTTTAAAACTACCTTATCTAAGACTTTATATATTATAATACTATAGCTTACTATAAAAAGTACTAAAAGCAGAAGAGTATTAGCTCTTTTTATAGCTATTATAATATTATCTTTCTTTTCTTAAGCCCGACCGAATTTACTTTAGAGAAGAAGTATTTATAAAAGGCCTATAAGCTAAAACTAAAGCCTCTTATTTCTTATTCTTCTAAGAATAATAAGAGAAATAATAATAATAATAATAATAATAGTACTAAAGAGATAAGTATTAGAAATTAGTATACTTATTAGGCCAAGTTCTAAAAGAATAAAAAAGAAAAAAAAAAAAAAGGAAAAAAAGAGTAAATAAAGAAGGAAAAAGAAAGTCTCTAAAGAACTATTACTAGAAATACTCTTTATAGTATATAGGAAGATAATCTCGCCTTTACTAGAAAGAAGAAAAAGAAATCGAGGCTCTAGAAAAATATTTTAACTAAGGCTTATAGTTAGTAAAAGTTAAAAGTAAAGAAAGATAATAAATAAAAAAATAATAATAAAAAAACTAACTAGTAAATATAGCTATAATTCTACTAATAAGCCTTTATTAATAGGCTTATTAATAACTATCTATTACTATATTAGCTATTTAAGTAAATGGCTTTTTTAAAACTCCTATTTTTTCTTAATTCTTATAAGATATTTATAAGACTTAGTAGTTAGATACTTAATTATTTTCTAGAATCTAATATCTGAAAAGATATTAAAAGAACTAAATATTATAAACTTAATCTTAAGAATTAAAGCCTAATTATAGGCTACCTTACTAATAGAATTACTTGCTCTAAAGTTCCGGACTTCCCGGTTCTATTTAGAGAAAATTATACTTTTAAATAGTTCCTTAAATATATAAAAAAGATATATTTTAATATAAATTATTAAGAGCCTAAACTTTACTTCCTTATTTCTATTAAAAAAAAAGTAGCCTTTATAGGATTATTAACTATATAAAAAGCTAATAGTTAATTTAATAATAATTCCTAATACTAATAATTTATTAAAAACTTTTAATACTAATAATTCTAATAGTAATATAATTAGAAATAATTATATATCTAAAAAGAAATAGTATTAGTATTAAAGTACTAGTAAATAATTTAGTATTATTTATTGAGAACTATAAGAGATCTAAGTCTCTATAAACTCTAGCTAGTAAGCCTATCCCAGTTACTAAAACTCTAGTTTATAAGCCTATTTTAGTTACTAAGCCTATTTTAGCTAGTAATTCCGAAGAGCTTTTAATAAGATATTTAATAAATAATATAAGTAACTAAGGAAGTTTATAATAAAAGGTTATATTAATAGGTATTAGTATATATTAAAAAGAAGCTAGTAGATCTTAAAAGAAAAAAGAAGTAATTTAAAATATAAAAATAAAGCTTTAAAAAAAA